TGGGGTGGTGGAGTCTGCCTGGAAGAAAACAGGGAATTGGGATGGGTTTGATGGGATGGAGGGATGGCAATGAGGGGATGTTTGTGCAGGGGAAGGGGTCAGAGCTGTGGTGACACCGGGGATGGTGGCCGTGCCGATCCCACTGTGCCGGGAGCTCTGGTCCGGTTGGATTAAAACAGGACCCACCTGTCCCCACGTCCCAAGATTCCAAACCATGGGACAGCCACCAACCTCCTTGTCCCCTGTCCCAGCTGTCCCTCCCGGATTCCCGCTTCACGCTGCGYTTGGCAGAACCGTCTCCTCCAGAGCGGTTTCTGGTTCGGCTCCGGGTTTGTTTATTCCTTAAGGCAAAATGATGCAACGGCCCCTCCGTGGGAGGGATGGGGGGGCTGGGATGGGCTGCCTGGCTCCAGTCAATCAGCAGCCCTGGAAAATTACAGCGGGAGGGCTCAGAGGATGGAAGGAATCTGTYCTGATCCGTGTGCTCCGCTTGCTGTGTGTCTGTGCGCGATCCATACGGACAGGTGACCGCAGCACGGACCCCTCAGATGCTTTTCTCTCCCCATTTCTTCTTCCTCTCTCTTCCCTGTGGCTGCTGGGGGGCCTGGGAGAAGCCTCTGGTGCTGTGGAGGCGTCTCATACCCCTCTGTGTGGAGGTCATGGATGTTGGAAGATGCTGGGTTTGGTCCAAACCCTTTGAGGACTCATCCCTGGAGGACACGGGATCCCCGCTGACCCTGTGCCCCTGGGGACACCCTTGGCACTTCCAGGACARGGAATTGGGAGYYTYTCTGGGGCACAGAGCAAAGCCTGGCATCTCTTCTGACCCTATGGATATAGTTCCTGTATGGAACTGAGCCTCTGGGTTTCCATCCCCACCACAGACCCCAAACTTTGGAATCACGCTCTTCTTCAGGAGCAGTTCCCTCTCCAGCTGAGCTCTGGGGACCTGCAGGGGTTGGACCTTCCTGAGGAGCTTTTCCCCCTTTCCCCAGCCCCACTTTGCACCCCAAAACACCCGAGGGGAGCCAGGGGAATGCTGTGCCCCCAGGACACGGATATTAGGATGCCACGGGCTGGGGGATAAGCGGAGCCTCCCGCCTGCTCGAGCCCGAGCTCATTCCCGTGGAGCCCGACCTGTCAGCACAGGCCCCGCTATCTCCGGGATTGCCGGCCCGGCTTTTCTCACGCCACTCYGGCACCGGGGCTCCCCAACGCCTCTCATCCCCCTTATCTCTCTGACAGAGTCAGAGTGACTTTTATTGCTCTAATTTAATCCCTGCTTGAGCCAGGCTCTAAGCGCAGCTCCCACCGCTGCTCCGGTGCCYGCGGTGTTTGCGTGGCACCGACGTTTTCCTGCTAGACTCTCTTGAGATGCCGTCAGCACGTGCTGAATTTTCCTTCCTGGTGAATCCTTTGAAGGATTCCCTGGCTTTGCTAAGGTCTTTGCTCGTCCCTTCCTGTCCCCGCTGCCGCTCCTTTGGTGYGAGCGGCTCCCGCGCGATTTTTGCATTTTTGCACGGTCGTTTTTTTTGCTTTTTTGCTCCACGGAGTTTTTCCTGGGAGGAAAACACTCGGGCATCCTTTGAGCAGGAATGGGTGCAGGAATGAGTGCAGGAATGGATGCAGGAATGGGTGCAGGAATGGGTGCAGGAATGGGTGTCACCTCCTGCTTTTCAGACATCCCTTGAGCAGGAATGGGTGCAGGAATGGGTGCAGGAATGGGTGCAGAAATGGGTGCAAGAATGGGTGTCACCTCCCTCCATCCTGCTGGAGATCACAGATGAGGGGCTGTGAGGAAGGAATTTGCCATGGCTGGCACCTGTCAGGCCATCCGTTGATCCAAGAGCTTTGGAGGGCTCAGATCTTGCTGGGCTGGATCTGCTTTTGCCACGMTGAGCTCAGATGTGACCCAGAGGCAGCACCAGGACCTTCCCTGCTGCCACCCGTGCCCATCCCAAAGGAATGAGCCAGATTATCCCATTCCTGCTCCTCCAGCCTCTTCCCTCATTGTGTTCCCCCATCAGCGTCTCGCTGGGCCGTTGCCAAATCAACTGCAGGAGGAAGAATTGTTTTTCTCCTTCCCTCCCCTTTTTTTTTTTTTTTTT